TCCCTGCGTGTATTGATCGACCTCCAAACAGCTGGCGACATTACCATGTGTCTCGACACCTTATGATCTGTGATTAGGAGCTGTCATGTTCACAGACACCTTTACAACAGAACATCAAGCACATTTACCAAGGAAAACAATGTCCAATGGATAGTCAACTTTTTTATTGCAATGAGTGCGACGTTTCGGTGCTGGTATCACTTGCTTGATAATGGTGTTAGTATCTACACCGAAATGTCGCACTCATTGCAATATAGAAGTTGACTATCCATAGAACTTGATTTTCCTTCATCTTTACAACATCTAAAATGCCTCTCAAAGAAGACACATTTACCTAGCTTAAACATGCAACATTAGATCTACATTTCTCTTGTTGACTGGTTACAGGCTGTAATTGCCATGCATCATCTTTCATTGTCACTATTTGTGAAAATGAATCTACTTTTTAAGCAAACAGTCATGTTGAATTGATTGATTGAGTTTAGTTTTACACCGCACTCAGCAATATTACAGCTACATCGCGGCGGTCTGTAAATAATCGGGTCTGGACTAGACGATCCAGTGATCAACAGCATGAGCATCGATCGCAATTGAGATACGATGACATGTGTCAACCAAGTCAGTGAGCATGACCATCCGATCCCGTTAGTCGCCTCTTACGACAAGCATGGGTTACTGAAGACCGATTCTAACCCGGATCTTCACTCTTAGTCATGTTGAAATGATAATTTTGTTTGACATAAAAATGTGTCATGTCTGGACTGGACATCACAAGCACAGATCTATGATTTTAGGCAATGACATGCATGAACGAAGTCTGCAAGTCTAACTTCTGATTCCCATCAGTTGAGTCTCCAGGCACAAGTATTCTAAGGTTGCTGAAAATCAGTACTAACCTGTATGTCATTGAGGTCAACAGTCTAGCAGGGGTTACTATGGTCACCTGTCCATACCATGGACTAGCAGTGGTTACTATGGTCACCTGTCCATACCATGGACTAGCAAGGGTTACTATGGTCACCTGTCCATACCATGGACTAGCAGGGGTTACTATGGTCGCCTGTCCATACCATGGACTAGCAGGGGTTACTATGGTCACCTGTCCATACCATGGACTCAGGGGTTACTATGGTCACCTGTCCATACCATGGACTAGCAGGGGTTACTATGGTCACCTGTCCATACCATGGACTAGCAGGGGTTACTATGGTCACCTGTCCATACCATGGACTAGCAGGGGTTACTATGGTCACCTGTCCATACCATGGACTAGCAGGGGTTACTATGGTCACCTGTCCATACCATGGACTAGCAGGGGTTACTATGGTCACCTGTCCATACCATGGACTAGCAGGGGTTACTATGGTCACCTGTCCATACCATGGACTAGCAGGGGTTACTATGGTCACCTGTCCATACCATGGACTAGCAGGGGTTACTATGGTCACCTGTCCATACCATGGACTAGCAGGGGTTACTATGGTCACCTGTCCATACCATGGACTAGCAGGGGTTACTATGGTCACCTGTCCATACCATGGACTAGCAGGGGTTACTATGGTCACCTGTCCATACCATGGACTAGCAGGGGTTACTATGGTCACCTGTCCATACCATGGACTAGCAGGGGTTACTATGGTCACCTGTCCATACCATGGACTAGCAGGGGTTACTATGGTCACCTGTACATACCATGAACTAGCAGGGGTTACTATGGTTACCTGTGCAAAGACTCTTTGCCACCAAGCTGGACACAGACAGCCAGGCAAGTCATGGCTGCCATTCTCATTCAAACCTGGCCAAATAATGGAGGATGAGGACCCTCCATGGAGCTACATACTGAACAGAAACTTGCTAAGTACATAGCGAGCATTCATGGCATACAGTCCAGTGTCAGATACAGCCAGGTGTGTGACTGGGCATCAGGGACGGGTCACCATCAGACATGTCACTGTCACAGGAGGGTTTAAAACATCATACACGTATGTGTGGAAGGTCATAAAACACTGGACATTTAACATAAAATTTAACATAAGGCCAGACCAATTTTATTTCTTGTTTTACGGATCCGCCAGTCCTATTTTTTCAAGAATAAGAAAAAACCCAAACAATTTCCCCGCTCAAAAAATAAAATCCTAGTGTTTATACTGGCAAATGTAAACTTACAATAAAAAAAATTTCAGATTGTTTTTTTTGCCTCATATACAGTTCACAAATTGCCAAAAGTAAAATACTTTTAGCATTTAAAAGGAATATTACTTTGACTGGTGATTTTTTCTTTCCCCTCCTGCCTTTAGGTTTTCTGAGAACAACAATCTGTAAAACAAAAATAAAATTGGTCTGGCCTGAAGAGTAATTTGTCTTCACAGGTATGGTCATGGAAGAAATGTACAAGGACATACAGAAGACCATAACAAATTACAAGTGTTGTATAAGGGTAATTATTTTCGTAACGTAAGTCGAGACTAAATGTCTGACCCATCCACAGCTTTTATATATAAATGACTGTTCCTCTACGTGACATGTTCGTCACAACAATAGTAACAGATACTGAAACTGAAACATCGAATTTTAGTTTCAGGATAATAAAATCAATTCTTGAAATTGCTGCATCAGCACAAGTGATCCCATGTCTTGTCCCATGTGTCAAAAACATTCACTCAGAAAACGATGTGGTTTTTAGTTTGGCTTCAGGCAGAGCCTTTCAGTTTTCATGCACATGCCAACGAAATCAATCAAATTCATACAAGAAGACAAAGTCATCAATGTCCCCCGCAATGGCAAAATATTCTTCATGAATATGTCTACTAGTTATGATTATGTCAAATGTTTTGGTGTGTATATAGCAAAGTAGAAGGAGAGTATTGAAAGGTTTTTAAGTTCTGCTCCAGGAAGGAGCACTACCACCAAATCAGTCGAAGCCAAACTTGTTGCCATGGAAACACAGAAAATATTTTATTCAGAATTCCAAAAAATACCAAAAGGCACCAGTACACCACCAGGCCTATCTATGTGCCTCATTGGGTGAAGAAATAGTGAACAGTTTTAAAGTTCTGCTCCAGAAAAGAGCACTACCACCAAATTCAGTCTAAGTCAAACTTGTTGCCATGGAAACAAAAAATATTTCATTCAATATTCCAAAACTACCAAAAGGCACCAGTACACCACCAGACCAATCTAGGTGCCAAGCTTGGTGAAGAAACATTGAACGGTTTTAAAGTTCTGCTCCGGAAAAGAGCACAAACACCAATTTCAGTCTAAGTCAAACTTGTTGTCATGGAAATGCAAAAAATACTTTTTTCAGAATACCAAAACTAGCAAAAGGCACCAGTACACCACCAGATGTATGTATGTGCCAAGTTTGGTGAAGAAACATTGAACGGTTTTAAAGTTCTGCTCCGGAAAAGAGCACTACCACCAAATTCAGTCTAAGTCAAACTTGTTGCCATGGAAACAAAAAATATTTTATTCAGAATTCCAAAACTACCAAAAGGCACCAGTACACCACCAGACCAATCTATGTGTCAAGTTTGGTGAAGAAATATTGAATGGTTTTAAGTTCTGCTGCGGAAAAGTGCACTAACATCAATTTCAGTCAAAATCAAACTTGTTGCCATGGAAAACGCAAAAATATTTTATTTACAAATCCAAAACTACCAAAAGGCACCAGTTCACCACCAGACCTATCCATGTGAGACGTTTGGTAAAGAAATATTTAACGGTTTTAAAGTTCTGCTCCAGAAAAGAGCACCAACTCCAATTTCAGTCAAAGTCAAACTTGTTGCCATGGAAACGCAAAAATTGTAATAATCAGAAATCCAAAACTACCAAAAGGCACCAGTACACCACCAGACCTATCTATGTGCCAAGTTTGGTGAAGAAATATTGAACAGTTTAAAAGTTCTGCTCTGGAAAAGACAAATGTGCATGGATGCACGCACGGACGGACGGAGTGCATTTTAATACTCCCCGCAAACGTGTTGCAGGGGGATAAAAAAGCATTAAGTTCCTATTCTCCCTTATGTATATGATAAAAAGCATTCTATCTCTGGCTTATATGACCTCACCTGGAACAAATACGTGATCCAAGCACAAGACATACCAGGACATAAGGCTCAGTTGACTAAGGCACTACAACCTACCATGTAGAGTTGTCTCCCTTGGGCATGCAGGATCACTGGCAGTGGGTTTGAAGCTGATCGTCCTGAATATATTTCTAGGTTTGTTTGTACCATATGCACGCTCATGAGACACACAAGAGTGGTAAAGGTTAAGGCCTTCTTGATGTCCTTCTACCTCAAGCTGACACACCATGATATGACTGAATTATTGTTTGAAACAGATTTACAGTGATGGACCTAGATATAATTATAATTTCCTTGAGTGAAACTGAAACATTACGTAGGCAGATCATATTGATTATTAACTGCCATATTGAATTTTTAAAAAAAGATGGTTTTGATTTAGAGTGTGTCCTGAAGACTGACTGACTGAGTTTGGTTTTACGCGGCTTTTAGCAATATTCCAACAATATCACATCGGGGACAACAGAAATGGGCTTAACACATTGTACCCATGTGGGGAATCAAACCTTGGCCTTCAGCGTGACGAGCGAACGCTTTAACCACTAGGCTACCCCACCGCCCGTGTCCTAAAGAACAATTGCTTGGACTCTTCAGAGAAAAACCAATGTATCTGTTTGAGATACATTTTACCTGAATACAGTAATATAAAAATGAACATGCTTTGACAAAAAAATTTCAAGAGTGTGTTTCCCTCATCAATGATTAAGAAAGGAGTTTTCTTTCTTATGCATCTCCCTGGGGAGTATATTCACTGTACTCCATTCACATAAACCTACTCATCCCACCGGGTACCCATAAAAAGCAAAAACATGTACACCTTAAGTCTAGGCCCAAAAAACCTCATTCTCTACTCTACAATCAATGATCAGTATTCAAAACCAATATTTATCATCTATTTAATAGGCAATAGTGTTTCCCCCAGGATAATGAAAGGGCAGGGTAGACTCAGAGAAAAAAGGGCACTTTAAAACTCAAAAGGGCATTCAGAAAACAAAAAAGGCACAACAATTAAGGGTTCAGTAATTTACTGTGGCTGACATCAGTTGATGCAAGTTCATAAATTATTTGTTCATATTCTTCCTCTTCTTTCGTGCCAAGAACTTGGCCACACACTTCCTCAAGTCAATGTCAGTAGATGACATAGCATTCATGCTGACCATAAGTAGCTTGGAGCAGTTATTCACTTTCAGCCTGTTCCTATGGTCTGTCACAATGAGTTTTACCCTGGAGAAGACTCTCTCAACCTCTGATGTCGAAAGGATCACTGTAGCATGGATACTCAGGAGCTTCACAATGTTTGGGTAGAGGTCTCCCAGTTGGGGCTTGAGGCTTGTCAGAGTCTTCAAGATGGTGGATGGTGAACATGTGTCAACTTCCTCAGCAAAGAGTTCCTTGACCTGACTCCACTCAAGCTGTGTTTTATCAACATCCAGGTCAAAGTGCTCAGCCAGTTCTGTAATCTGCAAAATTTGAATATTATGTCAATATATGAATGTGCAAAAAGCCAGTTTTGAATAGTACAAGTTGGTTTTCATTTCTTACATTTACCTTTATCAATATCAAAGTTGTTATATTTTACAAAATCAGTTTGAGTGAATTTATTTCCAATACCTCAGCATCACCATGGAATGTCAGGAATGAAGAGTCTCCAGCCTTCCTCAGATCCAGTGCAGATAGGCTTGTCAGGATGGGGGTGACCTTCATTCTCTCCTCCAGGTTCTCTATCAGTTTATCCAAGAACAGAGTCTTTGACCTTGAGACATCTGTTCTCCTGCTATCACTTTTCTCCAGGTTATACTGCTCTCCAAGTTGATCCACGCGGGAGAGGTATGGACCAGGTTTGTCCTTCATCTTTTTCAAAGATGCCAAGCAACTTCTCATCTGAGGCTCAACAACACTTAAGTCTAGATCTCTCCTCTCAAACATCTTTGTCAATCCTGACAGGAGTGAACAGACGTCACACAGAAGCAAGATGAAATAGAACTTGTGGTAGGACATGAGCTGTTTGTACAGACCTTCGGCAGTCACACTCTGTTTGTCACCAGCCCGCTTGTCATTCCCCATACCAACTACATTCTCAAGGTCAGCAAGGATTGCAGGATAGCTTCTCCTGACAGCATGAACAGCTTTTCATGACTCAGCCATCGAGTGTGGACAGCCTTTTTGATTGTCACATTACATGTGTCTGTGTCATCTGCAGTGTTTTCCATTTCTCTGGTCAATGTCTGCATCTGCTCAAGGCTCTTGGATCTTACAGTACTGTAATGATAGTACTTAAAAAGTCCCATTAGCATTTCATCAACTGATTCGATTTCAGTCACTGATTTGAAGGCTGAACTAACAGCCAGTTGCAGTCTATGGTTCACACAGTGGACATCAACCAAAGCAGGATTGTCTCTCTTCAGTTGAGCAACTACTCCATTCCTTTTGCCTGTCATAACAGCTGGACCATCACTTGCAAAACAGGTCATTTTATTCTGGTCCAAGTCAGTCTCGTGTAGATAGTCCTTCACATTCTCTACAATAGTGTCTGCCGTTCCATTAGGAATTTCAGCATCCTGAGAAATGCAAGTTTCACTCCATTTTCCAGATAACGGCCCACTTAATGCAAGGTGTTTTCTGGTTGACACATCTGTGTATTCGCTCAAGCATCAAGCCAAATGAATTGCTCTCTCATCTTCTGTAGGACTTGTTCTTCTACCACCTCAGCCTGACATTCAAGAAATTCCTGAACTGTTTTATGTCCAGTGTAATGGCATTCTTTCCATGGTTCAGTTTGGCTATATTGGGAGCACCAAGTTCAGCACACAAGTCTATGAGAGGTCCAAACAATGTCAGATGTGGCAAATTGTGCTTGATCAAAAAGAACAAAACTTTCTGTGCATCTACCAGTGATGACGTTTCCTGCTCAGAATAACTATGAAATATGTCATGAATGGACACAGCATCATCCTTTTCAAGTTTGACTGCTTCCTGGTGCATTTGAGAGTTCTCATGCAAAGTAATTTTGTCCAGTCTTCACGGTTTGACATCCAACTTGTGTCCAAACCATGGATCCATTTCGCCCTTTCACATTCCACTTAGTGCAAACAGAACAAAACATCATGCAGCTTGTTTCACCCTCCTCGCTCAAGATCCTCAACGATTTTAGCCATGGGCTTAATCTTGTTTCCACTTGGTATCGAAGACAAGCTTGTGACCTGCATCTTTCTTCTTCTGAGGAGCTGGGTCACTGGATGACAACCGCTTGTCGATGTCATAGCTAACAAGCTCGGAATCTTCTACATCGGGCCTGAAATACACATACAAGTCAGTTTATTTCCAGACAAAATTTATTGTATTTTGTAAATTGGTAATAAGAAAACATCCTTTGAATATTAAGAAAATAAGAATAGTAAAAATACCCAATGAAAGTAATTTTTCACACACAGAAAAAACATTTCAGTTGAGGATAAATTAGTTTAAAATATCAGATAAATATACACAAAAGTTTGGAACAATTATTTTTAGTATTGAAAATCTTTAAGACTAGATATGGAGACAGGTAAAAATTGCCTTTGTTTATTGTAGACACCTTATCCACCACAAAATCTACGAACTTCAAAGAAAAAAATTAATTTAGTATCTCTACCGATATTTTAGAATATGAAAAACTACATGTATGCAGTGCAAAAAATACACTTAGATACGCTCAGAAATAGACATGTTTGAAGTGGCTTCGATTCCTGTATCTATTTTTCGTGGAATTATTACTCGTAATAATGCACATTTACAAAGAGTAAATAAAATTTCAACAGATATACCCAGCTAAATATTTACTATAGCAAACGAGAGGGTTTTGTGTATATCTAGAAAATCGAAATAAAAATACGCAGCTTCCCAAAGATTTCTTTTCAGAGCGAGGTCGACTAAACAAGAAGAATTAAAAGTACAAAACATATTAGAATCTATTCACAATCGTAATATTAGAGAGGAAAACAATCACCGTGTGTTTTAAATACTTGAGACAAGCATTGAAATGGAAAAGGGAAAGAAAAAACTTCGAATAATCTGAAGTGATCATGTCCGATATGGCTTCCTTTGTTTCATTTGCCATGGAAAAGCAAAAATATTTTCTTAAAATTCCAAAACTACCAAAAGCGCCAACTCACCACCAGACCTATCTATGTGCTAAGTTTGGTGAAGAAATATTGAACGGTTTTAAAGTTCTGCTCCGGAAAGTGCACTGACACCAATTTCAGTCAAAATCAAACTTGTTGCCATGGAAACGCAAAAAATATTTTCTTTACAAATCCAGAACTACCAAAAGGCACCAGTTCACCACTAGACCTATCTATGTGAGAAGTTTGGTAAAGAAATATTGAATGGTTTTAAAGTTCTGCTCCGGAAAAGAGCAACTCCAATTTCAGTCAAAGTCAAACTTGTTGCCATGGAAACGCAAAAACTATAATAATCAGAAATCCAAAACTACCAAAAGGCACCAGTACACTACCAGACCTATTTATGTGCCAAGTTTGGTGAACAAATATTGAACGGTTAAAAAGTTCTGCTCTGGAAAGACAAATGTGAATGGACGCACGGATGGACGGACAGAGTGCATTTTAATACCCCCCGATAAAAGCGTCACTCTGGCAGTGGGTTTGAAGCTGTTCGTCCTGAATATATTTCTAGGTTTGTTTGTACCATATGCACGTTCATGAGACACACAAGAGTGGTAAAGGTTAAGGCCTTCTTGATGTCCTTCCACCTCAAGCTGACACACCATGATATGACTGAATTATTGTTTGAAACAGATTTACGCTGATCGACCTAGATATAACTATAATTTCCTTGAGTGAAACTGGAACATTACGTAGGCAGATCATATTGATTATTAACTGCCATATTGAATTCTTAAAAAAAGATGGTTTTGATTTAGAGTGTGTCCTGAAGGCTGACTGACTGAGTTTGGTTTTACGCCGCTTTTAGCAATATTTTAGCAATATCACATCGGGGACAACAGAAATGGGCTTCACACATTGTACCCATGTGGGGAATCAAACCTGGGCCTTCAGCGTGACGAGCAAACGCTTTAACCACTAGGCTACCCCACCGCCCGTGTCCTGAAGAACAATTGCTTGGACTCTTGGAAAAACCAATGTATCTGTTTGAGATGCATTTTACCTGAATACAGTAATATAAAAATAAACATGCTTTGACAGAATTTTTCAAGAGTGGGTTTCCCTTCAATTCCCTCATCAATGATTGTTTTCGTTCTTATGCATCTCCCTGGGGAGAATATTCACTGTACTCCATTCACATAAACTTACTCATCCCACCGGGTACCCATAAAAAGCAAAAACATGTACACCTTAAGTCTAGGCCAAAAAAACCTCATTCTCTATTCTACAATCAATGATCAATATTCAAAACCAATATTTATCATCTATTTAATAGGCAAGGAGGAACTCAAAATAACTGGACCAATTTACCCACAAAACTGGAGCTTATTTGTAGGAAGGATTATCGATATCATACTTGTATGCCCAAAAATAGCCAGACATCATAAAATCCTTCAAGGGAGACTGATGAAGCTCGGAGTCAAGTTTATCCATCACTATTAGTATTGACCGATTCTATTTCGACCGGCTAACGAACGAAGTCGACAAATTGTTCTCACATGAAAAGTCCATATGAACAATTGATCTACATGGAGATGGTTGTGTATCTGAATGACTAATGCTGTGCTAAGTAAACCTGTTGGACATGTAAATGTCACTGGTTGTATAGCCTGTATGGCTTGACTGAGGCAGGTTGGGCATTTACTGTCAGAATGGTGAAGGAGATTGAGATTCTCATGGAAATATAGTTTGGGAGAAAATGGCATTTAAAAAGTTCTGTTGAAGGGAGAACGTTTTGGTATCGCTTCTTCTTTGAGAGGGTGGCACGGACAAATTGATCTGTTGATATTAATGATCGTGGATGCTCACTGCTCAACCCCTTCCACTCAGACCATCATGAATGCTATCTCTTCCCACTACAGCCAAACCATTCACCATCTCCCACTCCAGCAATGTCACCTGGACCATCCCGCTATTCCTCCCTACCATTCCGCCTGTCACCCACAGCTCACCAACTTCACATCCCAGCAGTCTTATCACTGAATCCTCCCATACCAGCCACCACACCAGTCAACCCTTCACCACAGTCAAATCCTCACCACACCAGTCAAACCCTCACCACACCAGTCAAACCCTCACCACATCAGTCAAACACTCACCACATCAGTCAAACCCTCACCAGTCAGCCCTTCAGCCACACCAGTCAGCCCTTCACCACACCAGTCAAGCCTCACCACACCGGTCAAACACTCACCACATCAGTCAACCCCTCACCACACCACAGTCAGCCCTTTCACCACATCAGTCAGCCCTTTCCCACATCAGTCAAACCCTCACCACACCAGTCAAACCTCACCACACCAGTCAAACCTCACCACACCGGTCAAACACTCACCGCATCAGTCAAACCACACCACACCAGTCAACCCTTTCCCACATCAGTCAACCCTGTCCCACATCAGTCAAACCCTCACCACACCAGTCAACCCTTCACCACACCAATCAAACCCTCACCACACCAGTCAAACCCTCACATACACCAGTCAAACCCTCCCACCACACCAGTCAACCCTCACCACACCAGTCAACCCCTCACCCACATCCAGTCAAAGCCCTCACCACACCAGTCAAACCCTCACCACACCAGTCAAACTCACCCCGTCAAACCCAAACCCTCACCACACCAGTCAACCCCTCACCACACCAGTCAACCCCTCACCACATCAGTCAAACCCTCACCACACCAGTCAAACCCTCACCACACCAGTCAACCCCTCACAACACCAGTCAAACCCTCACCACACCAGTCAAACCCTCCCCCAAGATATCCTCAACCATTCTTCATAAATGTCACCCAAAGAATCCTAACAGTTGGGCTGCCATTCTCAGTAGGGAATGTACACTGGTTTAAGAGAAAATTTCCATTATCTTTTTAAACCAACTCCATTTCAAAATCTCAAGCCTATTATCTTTAAAAGTTCAATTTGTGTACCTGGGAACCCCATTAAGGTATCTGCGACTAAACTACGACCATAGTTAATCAACTCTGCGTCAGTGACATATCTCTTGACATGAAACTCGAGCTATGCTTTTCATTTCCTTGAAATGCAACAAAACACTGGCGACAGATAAAGATCACAGCTATTCCCTTGTGACCTATCACCTTTCCAAGCTCCATGCAGTGTCAACAGTCCCATTTGTATTCAAGACAACAGATACTGACACTGCACAGAATTAATTCCCCATCAAGACTGCATGTGGGCGGAAGGAGGTGACAGGTGAGAACTTCAAATATAATCAATAAACTTTCCCAGAAACACATCGTGTTTGCATCAAAAAGTGAAAATTATACAAGTTCTGAATTTCTGCATGCTTCTGGAACCAACATACATAGATATTTCCCATGGTGCTAATACAATATGTCTGCCATGACAATATAGCCAACTTCAATGTAAAACTGCTGACACATATTCAAAAGTTTCAATTTGGCCATTTCAACTATTTACTTTTTCAACAAAAACTCTATTCTATTTCAACATTTTCAGTTCTACAAAAAACACTGAATAAAGAAATCAAAGAGGATAGATCTGCACTTCGTCTTTCTTCATGAAATTCTAATGCACATCTTCCAAAGTTGGCGGAAGTGTTGTGGTTCTTGAAGCCAGAGCTGGCCAGACATTTATTGAGACCATCATAATGCAATCAGCGTTCCCAAACCAGACATCAACATTCATGCTTGTTTCCCCCGCGGTGCCAATTCCCTAAACAAAAGGTCCTGTGTTGAAAGTAAGTGTACCCAATTAATTTCCCTTGGTTGTAATTTGATGTGCTGGAGTATTGCATTAGGGCCAACACAACATCCTTTGAGATGTGAAATACAAATTAATATTGTGTCTTGCAGCGCATCACCTGAGTTGTGTGGGTGTATGTTAGTGTACAAGTTGGTGTAGCCGTGGTGGAGTGGGCGTTTTAGTGATGCTGTCAGTGTCAGTAGGTGAGTAATTGTGTCATTGTTTCTGTGTCAGAGCGTGCTTCAAACATTGTGTCAGTTTGTGTCATGTCAGTGTCAGTAGGTGAGTAATTGGGTCATTGTTTGTGTGTCAGAGCGTGCTTCAAACATTGTGTCAGTTTGTGTCATGTCAGTGTCAGTAGGTGGGTAATTGTGTCATTGTTTATGTGTCAGAGCGTGCTTCAAACATTGTGTCAGTTTGTGTCATGTCAGTAGGTGGGTAATTGTGTCATTGTTACTGTGTCAGAGCGTGCTTCAAACATTGTGTCAGTTTGTGTCATGTCAGTGTCAGTAGGTGGGTAATTGTGTCATTGTTTCTGTGTCAGAGCGTGCTTCAAACATTGTGTCAGTTTGTGTCATGTCAGTGTCAGTAGGTGGGTAATTGTGTCATTGTTACTGTGTCAGAGCGTGCTTCAAACATTGTGTCATTGTTACTGTGTCAGAGCGTGCTTCAAACATTGTGTCAGTTTGTGTCATGTCAGTGTCAGTAGGTGGGTAATTGTGTCATTGTTTCTGTGTCAGAGCGTGCTTCAAACATTGTGTCAGTTTGTGTCATGTCAGTGTCAGTAGGTGGGTAATTGTGTCATTGTTACTGTGTCAGAGCGTGCTTCAAACATTGTGTCATGTCAGTGTCAGTAGGTGGGTAATTGTGTCATTGTTTCTGTGTCAGAGCGTGCTTCAAACATTGTGTCAGTTTGTGTCAGTAGGTGGGTAATTGTGTCATTGTTACTGTGTCAGAGCGTGCTTCAAACATTGTGTCAGTTTGTGTCATGTCAGCATGTGGGTAATTGTGTCATTGTAACTGTGTCAGAGTGTGCTTCAAATGTTGTGTCAGTTTGTGTCATGTCAGTGTCAGTAGGTGGGTAATTGTGTCATCGTAACTGTGTCAGAGTGTGCTTCAAATGTTGTGTCAGTTTGTGTCATGTCAGCATGTGGGTAATTGTGTCATTGTAACTGTGTCAGAGTGTGCTTCAAATGTTGTGTCAGTTTGTGTCATGACAGTGTCAGTAGGTGGGTAATTGTGTCATTGTTACTGTATCAGAGTGTGCTTCAAACATTGTGTCAGTTTGTGTCATGTCAGCGTCACAGTGTAGGACAAATGACATACATTGCAGTTCCACATCCCTCATTGTCACAGACCTTTATGAATAGTTTGACTTGTACGTGATCTACTGCCATAAACATTTGTAATCCTGCTGCTGCAGTCAAATTTAATATTCAATCACTCACTTGATACTTGATACAGTAGAATTTAGAATCACCTTTAGGCAAATAAAGATAATTCCTTATCTCAGATTTTACCCAGATCAATACTGCTTGCCTGTGTGACTTTCAGATCAATTTTTCATGACTACTGTTTCAAACCAGGTGAACGAAATATACAAGCCGTGTTTCTCATAGCCATTTTTGAATACAACACAGTTATAGATTACCTGTCAATAAAACCATTACACATCAAGTCCTTGAATTTAGAAATGCCATGTGAAACTACCTTTGGCTTTAGAGAAGGCAGATGCCCAGTATTCATAAATATGAATAGATAAGCCATCTTTGAAGCTGAAATCCAGATATTCTAGACACAAAATGTCACATCGCTGTCTTCTACTTCTAAGATTTTTTTTTATCAAATATTATTTTATAAAATTGTCAGCAACATTCAAACTATATCACAGATGTTAATAACAAATATTTAAGATTTTTGCAACAACTCAACACACAGGATTAAGATATATTTCTGTGCCAATCCTAACAACCAGATAAATTTGTAAATTTGGAGAAATAATGAAAGATTTATGACTTTTACACTACAATCAAACCCTTCGCACACTTGTACAGCATATAACCTTGGAACTATAAAAAATGCTGAAAAAGTAATTGACAGCAAACGCACAAGTTGATTGCCTTATCAGTATTTGCTGTGTGTAAATATGAAGTTTCAGAGATTGGTTTTTAATGGCCGTGAGTCATGGTTTAGCAACAAACCAGGAAGATGGATGGATGGATGGAAGGGTGAATGAAAGGAACGAAGGATGGAAAGATGGAAGGAAGGAAGGATGGAAGAATGAAAAGATTAAGCCCAGTTCCATCAAGAACACTTAATCAATGGGCACTGGAACACAATCATCCAGCTGAGAACATAATGGCATTGATGTTAGAGCCAGTGTGCAAAATAGCTAGTAAAAATAGCTAGTGAATTTTCATGGGGTCATTTTGTAAATATATCACTCTCTCCGACTTGTTAAGTTACAATACACTTTTAAATCATGCAAGATTATGAATTATTTTGTGGGCTAGTAACTTTCAGGCATACTTAGCCTGACTGGCTAGCAAAATTTGGAAACTATTTTGCACACTGATTAGAGCCACAGGTTTTCTTTGTTTTACTTCAAATCCTTTGTAGTAATGATACATAAATAATTAACAATACAATATCCAAAAAGAAGTAAGCTTTCATCCGCTTAAAAACAACTTCAAATGTCCTGTTGGGGTGATATAACATGGCAGACCTATTTCCTGTAACCTTGACCTCTAGACCTTGAACTTGGCACTGTCATATTTAGCATTCATTCATCATAGTATTAGGACTCCTTATCACCATGACGGTAACACAACGGTAACACAACGCATCCTGTTAGACAAAGGCCCTATGGCTATTCCTCTGCACTGTGTCACATAACCTCAACTTGATGTCCTTGTAGCTCCGGATCACATGGGATTGCCACAACACCTCTGTATAACACCCCCAATATTTACCTTACAACTTCAAGGGCGGGTTCAGTTGTCAGTGGACAGAGAAACAATGCTCTCTGTAGTATGACAATACAGTAAACCTATTTTGCTACAATCCTTGAAGCTTTGAATGTATGGATTGAACTTGTTGGATCGAAAATCAATTACTTACAAGGAACAAAATGTATATTGATCTGTGAATATTGTGGAAATGGTATTAACAGATGGGTATTTCACATTACCTCAGTTGATTTTGTTCAGTAAGAAATATATCTCTTGTTGTTCAACATCATACAGTTTGCTTGTGGTTCAATGGCTGGCTGCAAATAATCAAGTCTTGACCAGACAATCAAGTGATTGATGTTGTGAGGAACACCCCTGGGTACATAATGACCTACTATCAACCAAGTCACCAAACCCAACCGCATCATCCATTTGGTCAGCTTCAGGGACCAACATAGTATTCCTAGTGACCAATTCTAACCAAGAAAATCCTCAGATGAAATACAGTGAGTGAGTGATTATGTTTTTAATATTCCAGTAACATCACGGCGGGGGTCACCAGAAATGGGTTTCACACATTGTACCCATGTGGGGAATCGAACCCAGTCTTCAGTGTGATGAGCGAACGCTTTAACCACTAGGCTACCCCACAGCCCTCAGATGAAAAACTCCAAGAAACATTAATTTTAGTTTGTCATAAACATAGTCCACTGTACATATTTCGGCTAAAATAAGTACATCTAGTGGCTGAGATAAAGAATATAGTTCGTTAAAGTGAGTATGGTTTTACGCTGCTTTTAGTAATATTCTAGACTCTTGCTTAGTCTCTGAATATGTAAAATTTGGACAGAAATAAATAAACCCATTTAAATTGAAAAGGAAACCCAATAAGATGTGAGATTCAGAAACTGAGGAAATCTAGACTTGCTTCATTAGGGTTTAGCATTGCAGGAGGGCTTGGCAGTATACTTTGAACAGTATTTTCGCATTATAACGATGAACAGTAATTACATGTACAGATTGATGTTGGCAAGATGTAGACATTTTTAGTTCCACACCTCAGGCATCTGAGGTAGAATAGCAGGTTACCTAGAAACATATACTTGCATTAAGCGACAGTTAAATAGATCTGGTTTAACCACTAGGATACCCCACCGCCCCGAGGTAGAATAGAAGGTTACCTAGAAACATATACTTGCATTAAGCGACAGCTAAATAGATCTGGTTTAACCACTAGGATACCCCACCACCCCGAGGTGGAATAGAAGGTTACCTAGAAACATATACTTGCATTAAGCGACAGCTAAATAGATCTGGTTTAACCACTAGGATACCCCATCGCCCTGAGGTGGAATAGAAGGTTACCTAGAAACATATACTTGCATTAAGCGACAGCTAAATAGATCTGGTTTAACCACTAGGATACCCCATCGCCCCTCATCTGAGGTAGAATAGCAGGTTACCTAGAAACATATACTTGCATTAATCGACAGCTAAATAGATCTGGTTTCACCACTAGGATACCCCACCGCCCCG